TGGAGGAGGAGGTGGAGGAGGAGGAGGTGGTGGAGGAGGAGGTGGTGGAGGAGGAGACATCCTGCAACTTGTCCTCTCTGCTGGCCTTGGGGCTGTGACTAGGGCTGCCCTCACAGCGATGCTCCACCACCCGCAGCCCACTGTGGGAGAAGTGCTGGGCAGAACCACAAAGGGAGAGCTCCTCCACGAGCAGACCATCCTCAAAGGTATCATCATCATCCAGGGAAGGCTGCCCAGGGCCCCCATCCACCCCCTTGTCACCCCAGTGAGTTCTTTTTGGATCTCGACCCCCCTCCAGAGTTCGTTGCTCAGGGTATCCCCTCTTCACAGCTGGCCGGGTGCCTGCCCGCTGCTCCGTGCTCTCAGAAGAGCTGGAGAGGTGGGAGAAGATGGACACCTGGTACACCTTCTGGCGCTTGATCTCTGTCTCATTGTAGCCCATGAGGATGCTGCGGTGGGTGCAGCACTGTGAGGAAGGCTCCAAGGGTGTCTCCCCGCTGGGCCGGGACAGGCTGGGGTCTGTGCTGCGCTCCGGGGGCAGACACGTCTCTGTGTGGATGTGCCGCATGGAGCCTCACTTGCTGGGACTCCCAGTGGAGCCCATGCAGCAGCAGGAGGGGGACTAAAGTGCCACAGGTCAGGGTGCAAGGGCAGGGGGTGTGAGCTGGGCCCTCTCTCACTCAGGATCTCTGTGTGAGCCCTCTACTACGAGGTGCTCTGCAGCACAGCATCTGGGAAAAAAAAAGAGCAGAAGGATGAGTGTCAGTCCAGGATCTCCATTCTCATCCAGGCTTCTGGCTACAAGGGACCTACTGGGACATGGCTCCTCACACAGCCCACTTGAACCTCCCTCTCCAGGGACAGGAAGAAGAAAGAGGCTAATATGGCTTTCTGGGAAACCCTGAGACATCACCCACCTGCAGGTTCAGCACTTCCTTCCTGGTCTGGGCAAGGAGAGAAGTCTCTAGACAGACTGGAGACTCCTGTGGACAAGTCTGGGCAGGTGGGGAGGAAGAGAGCTGCCCTCTGCCAGGGACACGCTTGTACTGTTGTGGAGCTCAGGAGTCAGGCAGGTCAGACCAGTCCCAGGGGCTCAGAACTGTAATCACCCCTTTGGGTAACAGCAGCAGCATCTCTCAGTGCTGGCCAAGACGACCTGTCCTGGCCACGTGCAGTGAATGAGGCAGGGCTGGTGCCAGCCCCATGGCAGGGACAGGAACCTGGCCTAACATCCCTGTTATCTCTGCCAGATTAGACCAGGCATCTCCAGCGTTTCAGTCAGCAGCTGGGAAGTACCAGGGTCACCATCCACCCACTCCTGCCAGCTCCAAGGGCCTGCCCTTCTCTGTGCAGCATGGTGCCTCACTTTTGATTTTTAGTCCAGTTTGAGAGTTGTGAGAATCCTGTTCACATGTTGGTTCGTTTCAGGCATGAAAAATACTGAAATGGTTGCAAGAGCTGAGGAGAAGCAGGGAAAGTCACCAGCACACTGAGGACAAACTGCCCATGCCTGGCAGCTCTGCCTTTTGCGTGTCTTTGCAGCAGTGCCCGATCTTGTGGAGCAAGGGTTTAGGAGCAAGTGAGCAATAGGGAAATTTGTTCTCCAGGTGGATCAAGGCTATGTGGAGAGTGAGCCTCCATATGCTGTTTTGACCCTACTGGGGTGTGGATGGGAAAATGGCAGGCCAAGGTGTTCGAGATCAGGAAGTCTGTTTAAAAGGAGTGATAAAATGTATAACCATGCAACAAGGACGTGTTGGAGACTGACTGGCTGAAAAGCAGCAGAACAGAAAAGGCCCTGGGGGTCCTGGTGGGCACCAATGAGCCAGCAATGTGCCCTTGCAGCAAAGAAGAACAGTAGTGCACCAGGCACAGCATTAACAGCAGGCTGAGCGAACTGATCCTCCCTCTCTGCTCAGCGCTGGTGAGGACACATCTGAGAGAGTGCAAAAGAGGGACACTAAACAAATTAATGGAATGGAGCATCTTTCCTGTGAGGAAAGGCTATGAGAGCTGGGACTGTTCAGCCTGGAGAAGCCCAGTGAAATCTTATCTCGATATATAGATATATAAATAAGAGGTTCCCTCTGAATATCAGAAAAACCATTTTGTTTTACCATGACTGAGCACTAGAACCAGTTACCTACAGAGGTTGTGGAATCTTCATCCTTGGAGATATCCAAAAGTCATGAGGACAAAGTCCTCAGCTCTAGGTGGGACTGGTCCAGATAACCTCCATATGTCCCCTGCTAACCTCAACCCCTCTGTGTAGCCCACAACGCTGCAGCCTGTCCTGGCTGCTCCCCACACTTACCCCTCTGCATCAGGACCCTGCTTTGCTCCGGATTAACCTCCCTGCCCTGCAGCAGGCGGTCGTTGGCACAATTAGCTGAAGACACCTGCCAGTCAGGCACCCCCCAGAAGCGGCGTGGCTGCCGTGGAATGGCTCCCACCATCACGGTGTGCCTCCAAACCTCTGCAACGTCCTCTCCAGCTCTTCAGCGTCCACAGTGGCTCTGAGGGGAAGGAAAGGGGGAGATGCAGGGCTGGGGTGATTCAGATGCTTCCTGGAAGAAGAGTAGGAGGGTGCTTCCTGTCTGCAGGGTCAGACAGGCAGAGAAGGCAGCATTTAGGCTCAGCCTTTCCCAACCTCCCAAATCAAAGGCCACATACATCTCACCCACCTCAGGCAGTGCTAACACCTTGATTTCCACTTAAACCACAAATATTTTAAGCTAAGCCATGAACTCTCATACCTGGCTTGATTTTACATCCCTTTTGCATTCTTTCCTGTATGAAACCCTGTGCATAGGATCAGATTCCTCTTTTTTTCTGGCGACCATTTCATGCCTTGCTTTCCAAGACACTGCAGCAACCTCTGGGCCTCCAGCTAGCTCCTGGTCTCATGTTCACCTCCTCCCCCTTCCACCCACAGCACAGGACACTTTCTGGCCCCACAGACAAGGAGAAGAGCTTGGAATTGTTTTCTTCCATTAAGAGATGCCTGTCAGGGAAGGCAGAAATGAGGAGCCTGACAGCCCTGAGCCATGATGGCCCCCCACCAGTTTTTCCCAGCACAAAGACAGCAATCCTTTCATGTGCACAGCACTCACCTGTTCAGATGTGCTCTTGATGTACAGCAGAGATTTGCAGATGCAACACAACTCCCCTGTGGTCACAACCCATGGGCACTGCAGCTTTGATGCCTGGAAGAGGGCGTGGAGAAAAGTCAGCTGAAGCAGCAGCTCACGGTGCAACACCTTCAGAGTGTGCAAGGGCCCTTGGGCAGCTTCACCCTCAGCACCTCTGTGGCAGAGGAAGCTCATGGGCTTCACCAGCCCAGGCACCTCCAGCCTGGTGGAGGTGGAAATTGTTCCTATCCCTGGGGCTCATGCCCTCCCCACCACCCTCCTCATGCATCCCTTAAATGGGGGATCACTGCAGCACCCATCCAACAGGCAGTCACTGTCTGGGCACCCCAAGCCAGCAGTGAGTACAGCTCTGAAGGCTGGAAACAGCAGGGCCAGGCAGATGAACAAAAACCCCAAATGGATGCTCAGAGGCAGCAACACTCAAGTGCAATCCCCTGAAGTCTGGTCTGGCAAATTCTGCATGCCTGCAACTTGCACATGGGAAGGCAGCATCAGCTGTGCTTGCTGCCTGACCTCACCTGCCCCAGAAAAATGTTCTAGGCTGCCCCAGGCTGTTCTATCTCTACATTTCCAATAAGATTTGATATTACAGGCGGCCATGACCAGTCTCTGGGAGCTGGACAGCTCAAAAGCCACCACCACTGCTGGGGAGGGCACTGCCAGCAACCAGCCAGAACAGGACCTGTTGAGGTCAGTCACACCCAAGGACCATATGCAGCAGGGGAAATCAGTGCTGCAGTGTAACAAACCTTGGGTCCAAAAAAAGCTTTTTGGAAAGACCCGCTCTTCCTGGCACCCCATGAGGCCTGCACCAAAGCAGGTAGGAAAGCAAGTGAATGCTCTCAGCTGTGGGTGGATGCTGAAGTAGTAACATGCTGTGCTCTGCCTGCCTGGAAGGTTGCTGTTTCCCTCCTCCATATCTGAAGGAGACTTGTACCATGACTTGTGTGGCACTATCAACTACTGGGAAGCAAAATCAGCAAACAACAGCAAGAATCAGCCTGATGCAGAGGAAGAAAGATGTGTCCATGCCAGAACAAACACACAGTTTCACCTTCCATTCTCTTTCCTGTGTCCCTCTGAAGTCACAGCCATTTTCTCCCCAGCAGCAGCTGTCTTTCAGGAGAATGGATGTATAAGGACAAGCTGACCTGCTAGCACACAAATCCCTCCCAGCTGAGCTCTCAACACCAGTCATCAGGCACTGCCAGCACCAGCCACTAGAACACATGGCTAGAACACAGGGCTACACCACCTTTTGCCCAGCCCAGATACTGTTGCTTGAAGCACTGTGCTGGAAAATGATGGGCTCATGGCAGGGACAGGAAAGTATCACCCAAAGTGCCTCCAAGTACACCCTAAGATCTCCTTGAACATCCTTCTGGAGGAATGCACATCAGTGTGGGATGGGAACAGCTGGGGTGTAGCTCTGCTTCTCACCTTCCTTGAGATACAAGGGGCTGTATCCCAGGGAGGGTCTCTTGGCAGTGCCAAGCTCCTCCCTGCTGACAGCCCATCCAGCTCACCATAGAGCTCAGCCTGTGACAGCAGCAAGGGAGCCCACCATCTCCCCACAGAGGGGAACAGCAACCCTGGGACCATGGCCTCCTGCACTCCAAGCAGGCACAGAAAGAAACCACCTGGTCACCTCTGTCTTCTCTCCTTGAGCCAGAAGCCCTAATTCCGGCCACATGGATGGACAGAGCCAGGCCCAGGCCTTCACCAGCTCAGCTGAGCAGCACAGGTACCATCCCTCTGGAAACAGCACATGGGGGGGGGGGGGCCTCCATGTGCCCACACCAAGGGTTTGGCTCCTCCTGAGCCCACCTGACGCTGATTTTTTTTTTGTTACAGCGTTTCTGTCCGTGCTGCTGCTCTAAGATAGGACTCCAAAAGCTTTGCCCCTTGAGGGAGGCCCAGACAGAGCTCTTCCACTCTCTGCCCTACTCCTGCCAAGGTCCCCTCATTGCCCAGAAAACAGGCAGGGCCCTGTGCTTTTGCCAAGATCTCCCAGCACCTAGATGTAGAGCTATGCCAGGCACAGATTTCCTCTATTTTTTGTCTAGGGAAGGGCACCACGCTTCAACACCCAAGAAACAGCCAGTGCCAAATGACCTGCAGAGAGTGAGCATGTCCCAGGCACTGGGGCAGAAACACTGTATTCCACCAGAGCCTGATGTGGAATAACACAGCCAGGCCTGGAGGGGTTGGGGACCTGGCTTACCTGATGGTTCCATTCCTATTAGCACATCCAGGGGGAAACCAGGATTAAGAGACCATGGTCCCAGTCTGGAGGCAACAGAGCAGGATGGTGGGTGAGGACAGGTCCCTGGCTGGGCAATGCAGCAGTGGTACCACATGCCAGGCTGCAGCCTGCAAAAGGATCTGCTGCTGTTCGAGCTGTACTGTGCCAGCCAGAGAGGAAGCAGGATGAGTGTGGAGCAGGGAGGCTATCTGTCATGAGGCAGAGCCCTTGGGAGCCTAGCAGGGCTGGTAGCCCAGCACCAGTGCAAGGGAGAGAGAAAGATCTGTGCCCAAAGCTGCCACACTTGTCCCGGGGGGATCCAGTGGCTTTCCAGGGCAGCACTGCCAGACAGTCAAAAGGGACACATGACCAGGAGACAAGAGGCTTTGACCTGGGCACTGCTGCCTGGGACAGAGCACCAGCCTGGTGGTTGTCAGGGCCAAAAGGGGTCTTTGCACTATTCAGACCACAATAAACCCCAAACCAACCCCTAAGTGGCTTTTGCTGCTACCTTCTCTCCTGCTTCCTTTCCTAGGAAGTGCTATGGAGAGACACTGGTGGCCTCACTGGGGATGAAGCATGAACCCACACAGCCAGGAAGAAGTGCCATCATTAGGAGAGGGAAAATAATCATCCTCAGAACAAGCAGAGTAAAATGCAAGAGAAGAGGCAACAGAAACTGCTGGAAACAGACTGTCTAGAGGATAAATCACAACTCTATTGGTCCTACCTGAACCCGAGGAGAAGGAAGGATATCTAAGCAGTGTGAGCACAAACCCAGGAGCTCCCTGGCACAGGCTAAGAGCAGAGCTTGTGAAGTGCCAGCAGACAGAAAGTTTCTGTCATAGCCCTGAAGGATGGCAACACTAACAGCAATGCTGCCACCAGAGAGGGGCTCCTGCACAGTCTGACAGATCAGGCGTCTCACCATCAGAAGACAGACAGACACGTGAGGCTGGGGACTACCTCCAGCACTGTAGTAGAGGTGGCAGTCCCAGGGAGATGACAAGGGAGAAGCTAGAGGAGCAAGCTGTGCCTGAAGCAAAAAAATGACCACTGGCCGTGGCTCTGGCACTATCCTGGAATTCAGGTTGGGGAGGAAGGAGCCGACGCTTGGTGGAAACAAGAGGAAGAAAGAAGGAGAGGGAGAGGGAGTGGATACATAGGAAGGGAGTTTCCTTGCCCCACTGCAAGGGTAAGTGCTGCTCTCGAGGGTCCTCAGGAGGCCTCCTGCCATGCCAGATTCATGCAGCTGCAGAGCCTCGTTCAGTGCTAACCCCTGCTAGTAATGAGGAGGAAGCCTGACGCCAGAGGGGAAGGCTGGGGCAAGAGGTATCACCCATGTCATGAGTGCAAGCTCCTAGAAACCACCAGACACAGAAAGAGATTAGACCCAACACCTCCCTGTGCCCACAGCACCGTGTCCATGAGGTGCTGCTGCTCCCTCCCATCCCATGGGAGGCAGCACTGGCCAGGTGCACAAGTCCCTAGGGACAGAGCAGCCCTCTCTGCAGTGCATCTTGCTGGGGCTCCAAGCTGCAGTAGCCTCCTCAAGGGCTGAGGTCTGCCCAACAACATGCAGTGCCTCCCCAGCCCTAGCACACAGGTGCTGCAGGGACTGAGCCCTTCTGCTCGGCCAAGTCAGGATAACACAATGAAACCTCTTCTGGGAGCCGGGGGAGCCGGAGCAGAGCTCCCAGCCCAGTGACTTACCCCTTCTCCCTCTGATGCCCCTTGTCCTGGTACAGATCGCCTCCACACACCTTTCCCAGGTGCCTGGCTTGCAGACGGCGATGCTGACAATAGCCTGTGGCTGGGAAGGGGGGTTTACAGGGTCTGCAGACAGATCTCACTATGCGACAGCCACCTGTGCAAAGCTTTCCCCCACGTCCAACCCCCTCCCCGCCAACCTCCTCTCCACGCACGGCTGCCCCTCTTCCCAGGAAAGCGTAAAGAATGAAAAGCAGCTTAAAATCCGGCAGGACAATCGGGCAGCTCTCCAAGGCCGGCAGCACCCCCTGCCCACCCAGCCCAGCAGGTTCAAACCTCTACGATACAGCCCACGGCCGCCCAGCTCCAGTGTTCGACCGGGAGCCCAGGAAACCTGCAGCAGGCAGGGCAGGGAAATCCCATGCAGCAGCCGCTTACGGGGAGGACAGCCCAGGTTGAGGACAGACCTTTGTCTCTGCCTGCCTGTCTTGCTCGCTTGCTGCCGGAGGAGGAAGAGGGGGGCGGTGGGGGACAGCGAGCAAAGATAACACCCCTAGGAGGGATGTCACAGCCACGTTAATCACTTGGAATTCCAGCCAGCGCGCCGCAAATATGGGCAGCAAATGGAGATGCTCAAAGCTCTAAAATAATTGGATCCTTTCACAAGAGCCGAGCCCAGAATTCAGCACAGGAATTCAGTCCCCGCTGGAAGTCGAGAGATCAAATACATGGAAAGGCAGGCGCAGCACAAGCAAACCTCAGCCACCGCTGTATCCAGCTCCATAGCCTTTGGCGCTGCTTTAATCTCAGGTGCCTTCCCAGCGGGAGCGAGGGGGGACCACAGCAGAGAGCCCGAGTGCCCAGCTGAGGACCGGCCCCTTCCCATCCAACTTACTCGACTTGTGGCAAGGTGCAGAAGCGCTGTCAATGCAAAAGAGGGTTTTGTGCGGGAGACCAGCTGCCTCGAAGCCTTGCTCGACCGGAGGAACAGTCCATGGGAAGGAGACCCCTGAAGCTGCTGTTTGGCCTCCGCTGCCCTGCAGGGGAGATGCCTGGCCCGGCAGGATTCCCAGCCCGCATCACATTCCCGGAGAGACGC